ATGTCATGTCATGCACACAACATGTACATACAAAAAAGTGAGTCAGAGGTGAGTCAGATGACAAATCGGGTCATTAATGTATCATCTTGTCTGTGGTGGATTCCACGTCCATGCATGCCGTGCGCCATCTGCAGTGATGATGGGAAAATCGGGTCATCACAAATCTCTTATTAGCATCTAAATTGACTTTTTATCCGAAAAATCAAGCATTTTAATTTCAATTCACATTTATAGTTATTATCTATTTATTACTCCGACATTTCATGGAACTCAATACAATTTATCCGGAAAAGTTATTAAATACACCACTGCACATTTTCGTAATATAGACAACTTGTGGCAGCCCCTTGTTTTTTGATCTGACTTTGAACCTAGCCAAACAGTGTTTTCCAAAAAATGTGAATGGTAGTCAAATTCTAGTGTGGAAAAGTGAAAATATGACCCCCGTTTGGAGCACATTTTGAAGGAAGAAAGTAGAAAATTTTTGAACCTTTATTTCAAATGTGGGGTCCACCTAAAATAAATGAAGTCAAATATGACAGCTGCATAGTGCTCTCCAACGATCACAATTCTCATTTTTTTGGGTTGAAAATGTGCTCCAAACATGGGTTAATCTGACATTTGAAAAACCTGTAAATTGAGTTATTTGAGTCAATTAGTGCATATGGACAAGTTAAATTTTAAACAACTTGAGACTCATCAAAATCGGGTGATTCTTTTGATTCTGTAGAATTGTGACATGCGAAAACCGATCGAATTTGTTCTTTTTATAATTTATTATAAACTATAAAATAAGGAGACATTTCTCAAACCCATGGCTTGAAAAGTTGGAGGAAGCTGTTTTCAATAGACTGCAAACGTTTGCTGATAAAACTGTGACTAAATTTATAATTGTTCAAATGCTAGCCCAAAATTTTATATTAGAATGTATAAACTTATAATTTATTTGATAAAATATATATATATATATATATATATATATATATATATATATATATATTTTAATTTTTAACTTGATAATAATCCACCGATTAAATTAATTATTCGTCAATTGTACAAATGACCCGATAATAAGGTGATCCGGTGTTTTTGATGGGTCGATTACTAAGATGAAACCTTTTCTTACAATGCATACTTGGTATCACAATATTTAGGCTCCGTTCGAGCTCCATTATTTCCTCATTAAAATGAAAAATATGATCGTTATTCATCACCCATCAAGTCATCATATTTGGTTTTTTCTCTCTTGTGTGAGATTCATAATGAATATATTTTTTACTCTTATTTCTACAATAATGGAACTCAAACGGGGGTTTAGCATATAAATCAACATTTTTTTTTCTGGGGAAAGGAATCTCATATACTTTGTCGGGATTATATATGATTAATCAATAATTTTAAGATGATGTTTATCTCACGGTTCCACGTAATTAATATAATTTTTTCTTAAAAAGGCAGCTGCTTCTAGAAAGTTCAAGGTGATGTCACCGACTTAAAACACCACAAAATATGCTTGTTGACTTGTGCTTGCAAAAAGATAATTTATCGCCCGTTTGAGCCCCATTACTACTCTTTAAAATTCATTAAAATAAAGAATAGTCGTCAAAGACGGACATCTTGATAAAAAAAGAAAAAAAAATTTCATTACAACAAATTTTTTCAGCAACTGTGGCCCCCCATGTGTCATACCATTCAGAGAGTACAGCTTGCGTGTACAACAAGAGTAATTAATTTGCCACAAAATTACGGCCCTACCCTCCTAGCCTTGTCCACAGACCTCAGTTTTTGTCAGTGAGGGCATATTGGTAATTCAGTGTGGACATGGGAGGGTGTTTTTTTCCTTTGGACCAAAGGTTCGGTTAACTTCAAACAACGAGATTCTCTGGTAAGTTAGAAAGAAATGACAGATGTGGGCCCTACTTAGTCAAAAAAGGAGTTGAGAGTTGGCAAAAATGGGGGCCAAACAGAAAATTAATCAATGGTTACTGAACTTTGCTATATGTTAATACTTACTTGTTAATGTTTAAAAAATTACTTATTACTCACTGAACTTTATTATAGGTTACTGCGTACTCATCGAAATTTAAAATGTTACTTGTTGCTCACTTAAATTTTAACAAAGTTATTTATTACTCACAAAGCTTTGCTTTAAGTGACATTGATGGAAATGATATGAGTGATTGATGGATAATTTTATTCACGTTTGGGTGAGTAATATTTTAAATTTTGATAAGCCATTAATAATTTGTAACAAAGTTCAGTGAGCAAATAGTAAATTTTTAAAGATTGATAAGCAAGTAATAATCTATAGCAAAGTTCAGTTACCATAAATTAAATTAACTCTGGTTGCAAATGTGGAATCGCAAGTATTTCCCTTTTTTAATGTTAAGGTTTATATATATTTCGAAGTCGTAAATTTGATCCAAAGATTTAAATAAATTAATTTTTGTACTGGTATTCGTAATAGACATGTGCTAGTTCTTATCTTTATCGAATGTGTGATACTAAGAAATTAAGACTCAACTGTATAAGCTTCTGTACGATGGTGTTTTTTTAATAATTTATTTTTCACGATTTCATTTTCAATTACATATTTTTTAACAAGATAATTTGTATCTAGACCTATAATTTTTCTTTACTTTTCAACTACACATTTCAATAATAATAATAATATTCATTTTTCACAAAATCTATTCCAAAAAATTTGCATAAAATAGGCTCTTAATGTCGAACATGTCTCGAATATAAGCAGTGCTTTGAAAATTAGATCGACCTGATCAATTCAACTTGGAAAATCAGGAACTGAGATCAAAATCGGTCTGATTAAGCTTATAAAACCTCTAATTAAAAATATGTCCCAAAACTCATTAAACCGGCCGATTTTAGAAAAAACCTCGTGACCCATTTCCGATTTAACTAGTTCAACTATNTATATATATATATTTTAACAATTATTGATTCAACCTTTTGACCTTTAACCCTTTCTTTTTTCCAGGTCGATGGCCAGCACAAATTTTAAAACATTGAATATAAAGGGTAGTGGTGGCAAATGAACCTTGTCGCCTCCGGCCACGCCTCAAAAATGAGATTTGGCCGAAACCTTGGCGTCATGTGGCCAATTTTTAAATTAATTTTGTAGTTTGTAAATTGACAATCAATTTTTCGTATATTCGAATTTCAAAAAAAAAATGAAATTGAAAAGCCCGTGAATCGGCTCAGTTCAACAAAGGCTCGAGCCAAAACCTGGGTCAAGTCCAAAAAGCTCGAGCTTTTTTCTGACAAGCAGATACCAAGCCTTCAACTAGGACTCGTGAACAAGCTCAACTCATTGTCATCACTATGTAAAGTGGATGCGCACACAGACTCTTAATGTCTAATATGTTTCGAATATATGGGCGATACACGAGTAGGTTTGCAGAAGAATATCGATACTTTTTTTTTTTTTACAGGGGAACCCACAGCCCCTACCCTTCGAGTGCGTACTGAATAAATCATCGGGTTGACTCAATAGTCTGCAAATCACGCCAACCAGGTAAACTGCACCAGGCAAGCCCTGTGACACTGGCTTAGAAAGTTCATAGGACAAAGTTCTTATTCCTGAATTTTGTTCAATGAAGAAGCATACTAAGGATAGCTTGAAAAAGTTTCGGCTGGTCGTTCCGCTTCGATTGACTTTAAACATAGATAAATAAATGAGGGGACATGGGTGGAAAATCATGACCTCAGTAATTTTAAGCAGGGGCTAGATGGACTGGTTGGTAACGTGGTGTGCTATTACAAAAGAATGAATGATTGATCAAGAATTTGAGATTTGTATCGCGGGTTCACAATCATAGAATTCGTGCAGTCTTTTCATTCCCCACGTCCAAATTCAAAAATGGAACAGTGCTATAGACGCAAGTAGCATTTTCTAAAGGAAAAGGGGTCACTTTCAATGGTTTTTCCTTCTCTTGTAATCAAATTCCATAAAGAAAAAGATTGTGCATAAGGACAACTTTGAAAAATTCGCAGTCATGGAAATTAGATGAGTGTTATGCAGTACAAGGTGATATTACGTAGTAAATTATAGTACGCACACGAGTATTATCTAATCTACCTTGCTAAATATGTTTTGATGCAAGAAGATACTTACTTTGGCTATGTAAGACATTTTGAGTTTCATTTTCATCCACACAAGTTAGTTCGACATGATTAATCAAATAGCAGGCCGTGCCAGCTCGATATAACTTGTTTTATTCCTCTAATGCAAAAAATAAAATAAAAATCAATAAGCTGAATATATATGCAAGCTAGCTCAACATGATCGATCAAAAAGCAAACCATGTTGTTCGACAGTAGAGTCGCAATCCATTTTATTAGTGTGAAAGAAATCAAACGTGGAAGTCAATTCATTTCTACATTTCCTCTCCCATTGAGTACAAATTTAGAAAACACTATTTTAAGGTGTGGAATTTAATTAATTAAATTTTTGATAACTCAATTAGCTACTAAAAGAAATCGCATATTTGAGATTGTCTCTGAAAGTCGCCAAAAAATGTCAAGAGTTACAATCGAAACTTTATTGAATAAAGAAAAGTCGCTATTAAACATGCAAAATGAGGTATGCAAATGCGTAAACGTTTCTTTTCTTCATAATAATTGACTACTTTCTTTGTCTTCTACTCTTCTTTTCAAACAGATGACTTCGCAACACGTACTCACTTAATTTTTCTATTTCTTTCCTTTTGTTTTTATTTTTTTGGACATTTTTCTTGAAAAATAATCAATTATACAAACGTCAGTATGCAGCTGCAGGTTTATTACCGTTACTGCCAGGAAAAGTAAAAAT